ACATATGTTTCATATGTTTGTTGTTGTTTGATTTATCATCTACGGGTTTATGTCGAATTAATTTGATGGCCTGCTCCCAGTTGGCTTGTTAGCTCAATTGGTAGAGCGCTGCACTAGTATCGCAGAGGTCAGTGGTTCGAATCCCGTACAGGCCTGAAATTTTTTTCAGGTCTGATTTTCACTATTGCTCAAATAGTGCTTTACTGCGAAGGATCGTGCACATATAAATAGGCTGCGTCGTGCATTATAAATATATCAAACGATTTTTTCGAGTATTTCAATTTAATAAGACAAGGGACCTAATGGTGAGCTTATTGTTTGGACGAAAATTCTTAGGGCGCAGACAGCAGATAAATTAAAATCCATGGCACCGAAAGAATGGGGAGGCGAGAGATAAGGGAAGGCAGCTATTCAGTTAATGAAGGAAGAACTTCTACAATCCCCCACTAAGCTGTAATTGACTTCATTTCCATTGTGTGTCAGTCAATATTTTGTGATAGACATGAAAATACTGTTTATATCTTAGCAGATGGCTTGAGCACCTATGGCATATTTTTTTTCTTTCGTTTAATTTTTCACTCACGCCAAGAAGCAACATGGACAGAAAAGGCAAGTTTAGACGTCGATGTTTAAAACTTTCACTTACATGGTAATAATTTACTCTTTCTTGTTAATCTTACGTCGTAACCTGGTGAGTCTCATCATTATAGTTTTTTAGAAGGAAGCGCAAATGGAGTTAAAGTTCCTCAATTGAAATTTGCAGACCAGTCAGACATTTATTTCTTTTATCACTAGCATATAACGAAAACGGTGCTTAAGTATCAGAAATTTATCAAGTGTATCCTGCTTATAATGTCAATTTGAGCAGAATTTTACATTCTTCCTATGTTCGATTCTCAGGCTTCCACAGGTTTCATGAAATTATGTATGCAAAAACAGTCAAAATATCTTGTGTTAATTTTCAACCATCCGGCGTGGGTAGTGTATTCGTTTCATGCTGATTATATTTCCTTTCCACTCCGTGACATGCTAAATTAAAGTGGGCAAATAGTAAATCATGGGGGTTCCTAACGATGAAAATAAAGCATAAATCGCAGAAAAAAGACGAGTTAGTCAGAGGCATCTTATCCACCAAAAGTCGTCAGAGTAAAACTTGAATTATACCGTGATATATTTACTTGCGTTTTATAAGATTGTGTTCATCGGAACCAGATGCTACAAGGCCGCCTGAAAGATGTCATGTATAATATATTCCTTTAATTAAGCTGGGAAAAAAAACCACCCAGCCATAGATAAAAGCGATGATATTAATGATAAAGATTAAAAAAGCCGATTTGGCCATAACCACGACAATTCAGCATCCATGTCGAAATCTATTTCTTAATTCGCAACCATGCAGCTGCTACCGCTCAGAAATTTTCACATACAATCCATTTCTTCATTTAACTGGCTCCCCTAGCTACTCACGCTAACTTCCGAGTTGACAATGAGCACAAATGAAATGCGGGGAACGGTTGTTAGTACCCGGCTCTGAACCGAGCTACACTGCACGAATGGTGCGCTGATCATAAAAAGTTATTAAAGCACAAACTGTGAACACTTCCATGAGATGGACAAGAATTTCGCAGTGGAAAAATAAAAATTCACGTTGACAGTAATGTTCTATTGGAAAAATATCCGTTATTTTAGCCCCTCAAGAAAAGCGCTATTCACCTGTTTGGTATACACTAAATAACAATAGGGGCAATAAATGTGTTAATTCTCCAAGCATATAACGATTCCTACGCAACTGATATCGGCACGTACAGAAGTTTTAAAGAAAATGACCCTTTAAACTAAAGTCAACAGTGAAGAGATAACCTTTCACCTTTTGTCCCAAAAATGATTGGTAACTTCTCCTTACAATATCAAGACATAATCCAGGAAAACACTTGGGGAGAGTACAAAAGAACTTATCAGCTAATAATAAAGTATCTTGACTATGAATTTGTAAAGAAACTGAGTGATGGCCAGAATGAGACCGATAAACGAATGATCTGAACGTGCGAGTCAGTCATTAAGACTTTCACCAATAGTAATAATAATAATAATAGTAATAATAATAATAGTAATAATGATAATAGTAATAATAATAATAATAATGATAATGATAATAATAATAATGATAATAACAATAATAATAGTTTATTATATATATATATATATACATATACATATTTTAACCTTACTTTTTAATCAGACATTACCTTTTAATTCTAGTATCACTAGCCGGAGCACAGGCTACGCATTGGCGCCCTGTGTTCCTCTTACCTGTATGGCATACAGATAGTTTTACTGCTGATAATAGTAATAATAATAATAATAATAATAACATTTAACACTTGTATAGTGCAAATTCCCGTACAGAGGTTCTTTTTGACTGAGGAGGCTTTAAGAGCGAAATATGTTTCAAGATTCTTAAAGCACTCTTATTTTATTTTTACAGTTTCTATACGTGCGTCGAATGTGATACTCTAGACGTGATGTCTTATTCTGCAAGTAGTTCAAATTATTCAAACGCATTCTTAGCCTCGGCAACTACTATTTCTTTAAAACGTACAGAAAGATATGATTAAATGTGCTTAAGTACCGTACCGTGCACCAGGTACGGCAATGGATCGGTTACTTACCAATTGTTATTGTAGTTCGTCAGTTTTCCTAAGAATAACCGAATACGCCTTGTGATTAAAAATAAAACAGGGCGTTATCATCGGTTTGAAACATCGGAAATTAAAAGTGCCAACTTCTGAGCTGATAACTTTCATTTTCTTAATTATGGAGCTTCCGCGATACAATTAATCGAGTGCAGATGGAAAAGTAAATTAACGGTTCTACTTAATCATAAACAAACTTTCATACAAAATAGCGCGGCTTCCTTAGTAAGTGTCGTATTGGGCATATCATCTTTTATGTCAAATTAGCGCAGTACGCAAAAACCATGCTGCTGTGCAAGAGAAAGAGTTAGGAAATTAAAAGAGACCACCTCCAAAAAGTGTTTTTCGTGATTTTACCTAAACAGGTAGGAGTTTAAAAAACTAACTAGGGCTTTTTATAGGAGAAACGGCTTTTAAAAGAAGAAAAGCACAAAAAAAAAAACAAACAAAAAAAGAGATGAAAAAAGCAATTTCATCGCGAAGCGCAATTCATACAAAGTGAGCTACACAGTAACAGAGACACTTAAGTCAATTCCATTGTTTTTAGCACAATTTAGAGTAAGCTTCTATGGCACTGGGAAAGATAGAAAAGTTGCTGAGCTCCTCACAACTGATGTTCAGCAACCAGGGCAGTGTATATTACCGGCCCAAATGTCACGGTCTTGAAGAAGCTAGTCCAATTTTAATTATTTTGGAGTTATGGACATTTTGGAGATTTGCAAATATGAGAATTGGGCAAAGGGGAACGAAAGCGATTAAGGATCGAGAGGATCAACACGAATTGCAAATGACAATGGAGAAAACATTGATTGATACTAATTTTTAAGAGGTATCCTGAGTCAAGACGTAAATCCTTTTAGTCGCTAACATAAATTAGACATTTCTTTTCACTGCATATCGAAGACGTCAAATAGGTCTAATGGGTCTTCTCGGAAGTCGGCGCGTTAAGCTGTTCGGGAATATTCTTCTTTGTTGCTGTTAACCTCTAAAGTTACAAATAACTTGACAGAATGGCAAGACAAGGAAAGGGCTTGCTACTGGGTATTTGTAAAGTTATTGAAAGATGGCAGATGGGTTAGACGACAGTAGAAAGCAGCGCATTAAAGGTATTATGAGTGGCTAAGCAACGTTTCAGTTAGAAGTCCCATGATTTCCGAAATCTTCCTTAATTCAAAGAGTTTTTATGGGAGAGAATTTATCCTATAACAGATACTGGAAAATGAACCTGATGATAGCCTCTTGTATACCATCATCCGGTTGATGTCCTCTCGTGATAATAAAATAGCTGCAATGTAAAAGTTGTTAAATGCATTAACGGCAAAATCACATAATTGCATAAAAGACTTTTATTGGCAAATATCTCTGAGAAGCGATATTGCTACTCAAGAAAACCATGTATTTAGAAAGAAAAGTGGTTTCGACATGTCTTTTTCTCAATATTTCAAATGAGGCAGGTTAGTCTCAGCGCGGATTCAGTCTTGAAAGGACTCAGGAAGCAATAAAATTGTATTTATTCTTCAAAATTTCCGTAACTATTAGTTCACTCGAGCGTATCGTTAAAAGCTGAGTCTACCCTCGCTTTTATTCTGTTGCTATGACTAAAGCATCAATTCTTCATTCATGACTGACGTATACTTATATGCAAATTAGCTTGTCGACTTACAGGATTTTCTTCCACTATAAAATTAAAGTTCTTTTACAATACAGATACGAAATTTATAGGCAGCTGATTTAGCAGCATAAAATAATAAATTGCTCCTATCCTTAGCAGACTCAATAAGTGCATGATGTTGTGGCCCAGTGATTGCGACAATTTATAGTTCTACCTTCAATACAAAATCATCCCTTTAATCTCCTTCGCTGATAATCAAAATTGTTTTTGCAGAGATGTTTCCCAAGATCTATAAATTAATCTTTTGTGAAAGCTGTCCGTCAAGAGTGGAATTAATTTTTCTGCCATTGTCAACCTGCTGTTGTTTTTCTTTTCTCAGATTAAAGACGTAGACATTAAAGGTGATCTCACTTTCCGTCATTTTGTTGTGAACTACCGAACAGAAATCTTTGACAAACACAAGAATCCATTAGAAAGAGCTTTAATATCGGACTTCATTAATAAACTTGGCTGTCACTACTCGCTAACAACTTGGCAAAGGAAGTACTATAGGGTTCCTGCAGTTATTCGCATGAACAAGATTCAGCTGAACTTCAATAAATTCTTTTTGATTTCGAGATGGGTCTCTATACTTACTTTTTGCTGTTTCTTCAGTTTTGGGTCAGAGGAACGCAATCAGGTAAGCAGATATTTGCCGCATTTTGTGCTTTTCTTTGTGTTATTTGCAGATGCAGTCATCAGCTCTTCCACATAATTCGGACAACGTAGTTAAAAAGTAGTTTGAGCCGCCCGTTTTAAACTGCCCGTTGAAAAGTTCACGATGAAGAAGAACGCGAACATGAAATGTTTTAAGTCTTTTAACGAATGTTAAATTAAATAGAGACAAAGTTGACGATCAACTGCCTGCGTTTTTCAAACTATTGTTATCAAAGATATACATAGCAAATGTAAAACGAACCGCATTCGAAAAAAAGACAACATTTTACAGGATGTATGAAGTACAGATCAAGTAAGTAAAAATCCAGTGGTCAATTAAGACTAGTTTATCCGATCAAATTTTCGAAAATGTCGGTCGTTTATCGCTTTGCTTTGTGAAAAGCAAACGAGGGTGCTAGTTCCGTTTGCTTTTCACTTCTGTTACGTTTTGACTATACAAACTGATGTCTTCTTACATGGATCCCAAGAATCTTCATTCCTAACAAACACTTGAAATTTCTTTTAGATATTTTCCTAGCTTTTTTCGATGGTAGGCATCCTAATTTGTTACTACTACGTAACACAAATATCGAAAGTCCTTCGACGTTGGTTTTTGTGTAAGCAGCTGCTTCTGTAGAATTCAAAGCAATGACCAAAAGAAACGCTATTTTTTGCCAGTAGGTTTCTTTATCTTCTAGCCTTAAAACGATTTAAAGCAGGATATCTTCTGAGACTTCCAGAATCCAAACAAAATCTATATCTTTTTAAGGCCGATATAAAATTGCTGTGAATAAGAGACGGTTATCAAAATGCCATTTCTTAAGTTTGCTAAAAAAATTATTTACTTTAAAGGTTTCTGGTAACATCCGTTGTAAACGAATTGTGCACGGCTTACACAATTATAAACAATCTGTGTTTGTTACCTTTATTAAAAAAGTTGCAACGTGTCATCTTACAAATTTAAAAGTTATTAAAATTATTCTTCTTGACTCCTTTCTCTCGCTGGGGTACTTTTCACATTAGCTGCAATAATTCAATTTATTGTTTAACAAATTATGTTGTCCAAAAAAAAATATATTACCTTGTAACGTAAAATGCAAATCACAATATGTCGGTGTGCTTTGGACAGGTTTAAGGGCTTTGGCGTCATTTTACCTTTTTCTTTATGAAACCCGTGGAAGCAAACAAACAAAGCCACCCACAGGCAGCCCAAGCTCACTACTAGAAAAGCGGACGTAACTCTTACCGTGTTGCGCAACGTTTTATATTTATAAAGGCTTGTATAGGATGTTATCGGTTTGCCTTAAGAGAGAGAAAAAATGTCTTGTTTTGAAATAAAATGGGCTTACCAATCAACATCGAATGGAAATGTGTGATCAGAACAATGCGGCCTTGGCAAAACCTCTCGAGGAGACCAGGGGAGATAACTGGTTTGTTTGTCGACTGCAGGCCGCTGGCTACCCTCGCCGGGCTTATTTTAGTTACCCAACATACTGTGCGATCGGCGAACGGGCCCATAAATGTTTCAAGCAGCCAAATTCGAAATTGGAAAGCCGATCGATCCGGAGATAAAAGCATCGCTAGTGAAAGATCTGTGAGAGGAATTGGGAAACGAGTGAATGGAAATGGAACTGCAACATCTCTGTTTTGATTTTCTGGAGGAATCGAGACTGGTGGTAACTTTTTGGCGGAATTATTCGCATCGGGCGACGGACACTTCTAAAATAGGTTTCCAGCCTTGTTTTTCTTTTAGCAGTTGAATACCAACATAGCGCTAACTCGCCGAAAACGCTTCAAAATGGTCTGAGACGCAAGGAATCGACAAAGAAAACAACAAGGCAAAAAGGTAAGGCCATTTTATTTCAAAACAAGTCATTTTTTTTCTCTCTTTTAAGGCAAACCGATAACACCCCGTACAAACCTTTATGTTGGGGATAGCACAAAACTTCGACACGTTATCCGTAATATTCCTTTAATTTTCGACCATCACAATTGATAGTATGAACATGTCACGAGAAATCGGTCACCAGACGGTGAAAACTGAGAGGCTGGGGGCTGCCCGTAATCATCAGTCCACCACAAGAAACGTAGAGCCTCTTGGTCTTGTTTTCGCACCCTTACTTGGTGGAACATAGCCTCCACATCAGCGGCCAGCCCAACCTTTCCTTGCCGAAAGCGCAGCAGCACCCCAATGAGACTGTTGGTCATGTCTGGGCCTTGGATGAGCTTCTTGTTTAGGGATGTGCCCTGAAACTCAGCTGCGGCATCGAAAACGATGCAAAGCTTTCCAGGTTTGTTGAGATTGATTACTGGGTGATGAGGCAGGTACCAGGTGTATGAAGTCTCCATAGCTGCTTGTTCACGAGATAGTTTTCGGGCGTAGCCTTTAGAGATATACTCATCCATGACCTCGCGGTACTTGGCAGCAAGCTCCCGATTTTCAGGTTTTGTGAGGCGTCGCCGAAGGAGTTCCAGTCTCCAAAAC